AGACCCACGCCCCCGGCGCGTCAGACCCAGCCCCGCCAGCCCGAGCTCCTCACGTTCCCCCAGACCTGCTGCACGGTCTCCTGCCTCCTACTTCAGCTAATGGGCCGTCACCCCCGGAGCCGCCCAAGCGGACCCTAAAGTCATTGCAGACCCTTCCCCTCTAGTTTCCATGTTCAGTCAAACCGCAAGTCTCGGCAGTTTCATTTCCTAAGTGGTTCTCCGCACTCCCATCTCCTCTCTGCTCTCTCAGCAGCTGCTTCGGGGTTCAGCCGTCTCTCACCCAGAGCACGCCGCCAGCTTCCCCACTGCCCTCTCCTGGAACACGCCCTCCGCAGACCCGTCAAGCCCCGGTGCCCCGCGCCGTCCGCGCGAACCCAGCGCCGCCCCTCCGGCCGCGCGCCTGCTGACCTGCGGGCTCTGCTTCCACCCCCCTCCCCCCTCCACCGGCTGCCACCTTAGCGCCATCGGTGCTAGGAACACTGCGCACACAGCACCGCGGGTCAGGCTGTCACGTCTGCACGAATGTTTCCGTGCCTCCTCTTCCTGGCAAACTTGCACAAACTCCAGTCCCCACCGGGACACCACCCTTGCTCTAGTACCGGAGAGAGTCCCGCCTCCTTTGGACTAACTCTGCTCAGGCGTCTTTCATGCCATTTACTTCTTTGTGTCACCCTGCTTTCTCTCAGTCCACAACCTGGTGCCTGACACAGCACCAGCACTGAATCTTCAAATCTGCGGATTCAGTTTGATCAAGAGTTTCAGTGTAAGAAGTTTCGGGTTTAGGCCCCAGCCTTGTGACCACAGGAGGGTCCTCATTTGTATGCCATGCAGGATGGGGCATACTAAGATGCCTTTTTGTTCAGTGTGGCACCCGCCCATCTGCTCCTGTCCCTCCAATGCATTCTCTCATCAAAGACAAGTGACAGATCAAAGGCCCCAGATCTGAGCACCCGCCCTCCTGCCTGACCTCCTACAGGCTCTGTTACTCAGGCTGAGATCCAGCCACACTGGTCAGAGCTCCGTGGGATTTTACCTTGTGCCACACTTCCCTTGGCTCCCAGGTTCGGATTCCCTGACCTCCCTCAGCTCCACAAATGTGTCCTCTCCTGCCAATCATGGCTGCTCCTGCCTGGAATGGTCTCTTCCTTCCTCTTCACCTGGAGACTTCCCAAGCAGCCTTCAAACGTCAGCGCCAAGGCCGCTTGGTTCCAAGGTCCCCTGACATCTGGTCTTCAGGGTCCCTGCAAGCAGCTGCAGCCTGTGCACCTTGTGAGAGATAGCTCACCGGATTCCTTCTCGCTGGGGACAGGAAGGGGACTTGAGCCTTTAACATGGCCATTTGCTGATGGATGTTTATTAGTAGCATCTTGAAGTAGGGAGCCGTTTTTCACTGTGCGCAGACGTGCTGCCTTGGCTGTCGGCTCCTCTGTTTTATTAAACACTTTCCCTATGTAACACTTACCAGAGGTAACCGTATTTGTTATCAATTAATTATTTATAAAATTAGAAAAAATTAGGCTCTGTCTCTCACCAGATCGCACCCCCCCCCTTGGGAAGGGACTGCCTGGCGTGCTTATTTTTGCACCCTCAGCATCCTGCCTCCCTGTCTCCCACCTGGGGACAGTCAGGACGTGTCTGCTGAGTGACCGAGAGCAGCAGCATCCTACTCGTCTCCAGGCGGCACTGGCTGCACCAGGGGCCTTACGTAAAATAAGCTGCTCCCTTCAGCTCTACCCTGGCTGCAGCCACAAGAAAGCGGGTTGATCACAGCTTGCTGGTGGGTTCTCTGGTCTCTGTGACAGAAAGGCCAATGCACCCCCCGCCCCCGGCTGAAATAAAACTGGCTGAAAACACATTTCCAGCTTTAAAGGCGCTGTGCTTGCAGTTACACGTGTGGCATCTGCACGGAGCAGAAGGGCGAGTGGAGAGGGAGTGCCAGGGAGTTTAACCACGCGTGCTTTACCTCGGTGTGGAAGCGCGCGCAGCACGTCGGCTGCTTCTTTAAGTTCCTGGTTTGTAAGGCTTCTCTGATATCATGATAACAATCTCGTGACAACCTGAGTCCATGTGAGCAGCATTCTTCACTGTGTTCAGAGACACGGGCCAGGTCTTCCCGACAACCGGAGCCACCTGAGGGCTTCTTAATGCTCTGCTTATTTTGACTTCACTTTATTCTAGCCACTAGTTTGGTAAAAACAACAACAACAAATAGGAGTATTCAAGTGAAACACTTGAATGAAACCACTTTATCATAAATAGCAATTTTTTTTAAAAAGACTTAAAAAAAGACTTTAAAGACTAGTAGGCGGTTCCTACCTATGATCAGAATTGGACCATCATCTTACAGTCAAAAAGTCCCAGGCTGAGTTCTGCATTCTGCTTTCAGGGTGGAAGTGCTTTTCCCCGCAATTCCGCTCTCCAAACATACTATATGTACATGTGAGAACGGAAGACCAACTTTTGAATTACTGAAATTGTGCCAACTTTTAGACACTTCTTTAAAGTTTTTCACTTCTTTACAACTCTCCTTATATCTTTTCAGGTAACAACTTTCCCTTTCTTCCTTTTTGTTCTTGCCGAGTACCCTCCTCCTACATTGTTTTGTCTTTTGGGGAAGAGGTAGTCTGCTTTTGTGCCCTTGTATGAAATCATTCCTTTCAGTTAGCAAGTGGCAAGAGCCAGAAACACCTTGTGTTTGAAACAGCTCTAACATTACCAGCTGTGCTAGCCCCCCAGGTGTGCAAAAAGCGAACAAAAAAAGTGCAAAAGGAGGAGAGACACTGTCAACACCCTTTCAGAAGTGTGCAGCACAGAGGCAGTGGGATCTCAGTGCCGAATGCATAGATAAATAGGTACATCGTAACAGAATGATAGCTGGATCTGTAAGCCCTTCTCATAGTATTTCTACTTTCCTTCTGCCTTGCATACTGCTCAGTGTTTGTGAACTTGAACAGACATCTTGCTGGGCTGCTTTGGTGGTAGGCTGGACTCCCTCCGGCAGGAGGCGAGCCCCCAGACACCTGGAGAAGACTCACCTGCCATCTTCCTAACAGAGAGGGACCCTCAGATGCTCGGAGTTCCCAGCATTCTGAGGTTTTGTGAAAGTAGACGTCGTTGTCTAATGAAAATCTGCGATCAGACTTTAAAGAAATATAAGATTGGGTGACATGTATTTTCAAAACCCCTAAGATGCCCAGGGCAGAACTGTGGCTCTCCACGTCATGCTGAGGAGAGCGGCACTCTTCCAGGCTGGGGACTCAGGTGGCCAAGCACCTCCCTGGGGTCACAGCGTCTTGGAAGGGGCAGGAGCTCTCCTCTGCTGTCAGCGATGGATGGAATGACTGTATCGGCCGTCACGGTGCCCAGGTGTGGGCACGGACGTGAGCAGTAGGAAGCAGTGGAGGACCCGTGTCCGTCTTGAAAATCGGACATAGACAGGAATCCACTCGGGAAACTCAGGTACCTCGGTCTCCCCGCATCCTGCCTCCAATACCCAATTAGGCAACGGGAAGTTCCCCCGTGTCCTTCAGGTCTTCATCTTAGCGGCCGAATCCCGGCTCCCCTGCTCCAGCTGACCTTTGCTTTCCTATCTTTTGGTCGTCGTCCTGAGGGCCTCCTTCACCCGCAGAACCTGATCCTTGAGCTGGCAGAGTCATGCTAAGGAATGGTGATTGAATTTCTCTGTGGGGCTCAGGTTGTCCGAGGTGTCAGAGAGAAAGAACCACAGTGAGGGAAGTCGTGGGCACAGAGGTGGATGTAGGAGGCAGGGACATTGTCAGCTCCCTGGACCAGCACTGAGGCCTGAGTTAGGCGCGTGCTTTGATTTTCCGCAGGTAACACCGCAAAATACGAGTGACGCCCTAAGGTGCAGTCTGTGCGCTGTCTCAGACGGAGGAGACTGAAAGGGACGGAATATTCTACGTATGTCAAGTAAATCATTGAAGTTGTGAGATCTGGGCCTTATTCTGTTTGTACAATTTGGCTGCTCCATTTGGATGGGCCATTCAAATAAACAAAGCTACGACTTCCCCTCCTCACTTGAAAGCGGACGTGTCCGGAGAACTAGGCCTGCAGGAGTTCCAGACGAATCCTGAGCAACCCACGCGCACTCGCGCGCGGCGGGCACGCCCTTCCCGACCA